GGCGTGGGAAAAGTGGGCTGCAGGTGCTGGAAGGGGACTCGCCTTTGCTTAGGGAGAAATCACAGTAGCCCTGCCCATCTGGGAGAGCCAGTCCTGGCTCCAGTCCCACGGGGCCTTGGCCGTGATTTCACCCAAGGTTGCGTGTGCCCCGGCCTGCAGGTGGGGGGATGAGGTCCTTGCCCAGGCTGGGGGTGTTCCTGGGGCTCAGCCAGGTGGGGGCGGGGCTCACAGGGCTGGGATATGTGGCTTCCTCCCTGGCTTCGGGCTGCTGTTCGAGGGGCCTCTGTCCAGTCCCCTGAGCCAAACCCGTCTGCCCTGCAAATGTCCAGGTCCTCCCTGGGCACCAGCAGCCTGCCACTCCCATGCCCACCTGCTCTGCTCCTACCTGGGTCTTCAAGCCCAGTGGATGTGCGGAGCTGCATTCAGCCTGAAGCTGTGCCTTCTCCAGGGGTGGAGAGCCCTGTTCTCATCGCGGCTGTGACGTGGGCAAGCCACCCAGCCCCTCTGGACATCCAGCAGGAAATGATGGGACAGGCCCTGGAAGGCCCTGGGGTCGCAGCCCACAGCCCCTTTCCAAGAGTGGGCTGACTGGGGAGGAGCCTGGCTGACACCTTAGCCCAGAGGTCAAGGCCAGCAGCAGTAAGCCACGTTAACAGCATGCATCCTGATGTGTCGCGACGAGAAGGTGCTGAATTCTGTCCAGTTATCCCCAAACCCAGGACCCCAGAGACTTGAGAACAACATCCGAGCAAGCCAACTAGATTGAGGGATGGTCTGGAAAATACCTGACCAATGTTCCTCAGAGCCATCAAGGTCAGGACACGAGGCAGGAACCTCGGAGTGCGGGGCGGCTGGTCCCAGACAGGACGGAGGAGAAGCAGTCTGCAGCACGGTGACGGTGCTGTGGTGCTGTCACTCTCCGTTTGGACAATGAACTGTTGGAGGTGAAGTGTAAACCTAACCCCCCGCACGGCTCACCTGCTGATAGGTAGGGCAGCCAGGTGAGCTGGGCTTGGCCACCTCCTGAGGACTGGGGGGCAGGAGGAGAGGTGGCGTCACGGTTGCCCGGGACACGCAGGACCACACATGCCCACTAGATGGCAGCAGCGCGCTGCAGCCAGTACAACCTCCCCAGACCCTGGAGAAGGGAGAGAGGTCAGGGCCCGAAGAGTGGCGTTTCTTCTCCGACAGGACACCTGGGGTCAGCAGCTATGAAGGGACCAGTGAGCGTCAGCTTTGGCTCCCAGTGGCCTTTCTCTCTGTCTCTGTCTCTCTCCTGATAGCCTGAACCCGCGGACCAGACCGTGCGGGTTCAAACCCCGGCCTCTGTGGCTGAGGCGCTGCCGCGGACGTCTCCCCTCCGGGGCATGGGGCGTGTGCCCCTGCTTCTCCGCATATTTACAGTTGGCGATGATCAGACGCTGGACATTGTGGCATGTGGCTGTCAGGTCCTGGGTCTGTCAGCTTCTGCCCCCGGCCCTGGAGGTGTGGCCCTCACACGCCCCCTTGGTTTCTGGGCTCCCTTGCCCAGCTCCGCTGCCTGGCTATGTGACTGGCATTTCAGATCAACGCCCCGGCCCCTGCACAGCAGCTCCGGGGTGCGCCGACACGGTCCCTGGGGTCCTGCAGCTTAGAGGAAGCCGACCGGCGCCTGGGGATATGGGATTCCTTCGTTTAAGATGACAAACATCCACAGTTTCATAGGCCCCTTTACACACATTAAACTGGGGGACGCGTGGTCAACGCTCAGTTGTCATCACAGCCCTGCCAGTCACCTGTCAGAGCAGATGCTTTGTCTCCAGATGGATTTTCATGTGACCACTGGTGACTGCGCGCTGTCACACCCCTGAGCCCACAACGCCCCATATCTGTGAGCCCACGATGTCCCACACGCGTGAGCCCACGACGCCCCACACGCGTGAGCCCACAAGGCCCCACACCCAGCTGGACAGGGAGGGCGCCCAAGCTCCCGGTGTGCAGCCAGAAGACCCATTGGATCATCTCACCAAGAGGGGCGGGGCCAGTGTCAGGAAGCCCCATGCGACACTGGAGCGGGGGCTGGGGACAGCCCGGAGTCCCCAGCTGTTCCCTGGTGCCTGGATCCCTCCTCACACACAGTGTCCAGGCTTCTCCCTGTGTCTGCAGCTATTCTGCGATGCAAGAGTCATCTGGTTATGAGGAGCCTCCGTGTCCCCTTGTCCCCTCCCACACCTGCCTCTGGCTTTGGGCCCCCGAGTCCCACACTCGGTTATCAGTGGCCCGAGCTGCGGGGAGAAGCTGCAGTCTATTAAGATTTAGAGACATTTAGTGTAACAAGACAAGCAAGGGCAGAAATTTAATTTAGTGATAAAAAAATAATCAAGTCTCAACTCGCTGTGGACAGAGAGCAGCTGCCCAAACGTCCAGCTGTCCTCTCACGCCCGTTACGAAGTGGTTCCTGTTGGTGGGCAGGAACCCTGGAACCACGGGTGGCCCTCTGGGAACCGCTCCAGACATCACAGCCGAGACAGATGCAAAACTTGGAACCAAGCGCTCCACAGAACTGCGAGAGCTTGCTGCTTTGTGGGGCCTCGAAGGCCACTCCTTGTCCTTCTCCGGCCAGCCAGGTCCGGCTCCAGACGGCCCCTCTCCTGACATCATGTGGGCTCGGTGCCGGCGCCTCCTGCGTTGCTGCAGTTTGAGAACGTGCACCCACGGTTTTGTTTCTGGGGCTGCCGACAGTTACCCCGGCGCCTCTGGGGTCCCAGCCCCTCCTCATGCTCTCCAGCCCCAATGCGGGCTGAAACCTTGGGTTTAGTTGTCAGACTCCATTTTCCCTGCAGGACATCGCAGCCTTGCTAACTGGCCCCGACTCTGCCCGGGCCACCTAGGTGCCCTGAGGTCGACAGGCCTCAAACAGCTTCACTTGTGCCAGGAGGGGCGTCCACTCCAGCCGGCCCCTCTCCAGAGAAGGGATGATCCCGTGTTGGTGCCACGACTCCTGGAGTGGAGCGAAGTCCATTGAACTGAGAAAAGACAAAGAACGCAGAAGTCTGAGGGCCGGCATGCACCCTGCCCCCCAAACACCTTGATTTCAAAAACACAGAATAGCACAGAAATTCTCATATTGTCTGTGACCCAGTATTAGCAACTGGTGAAATCCTGGCACATTTGCTTCTAGTCCCTCTGGGTCGGTCCTTTGCAGAAAGGCTCTCTCGTTTTTATAAAAACCAAGCACACTCATTACAAAGAATTTAATCAATGCAGAAAAGTACAAAGATAAAATGCAACAACTCCGTCCAGTCACCTCTGCCAGAGAAGATCTGGCGTTAGTATTCGCCGACGGTTATTCCAGGCAAGTGACGCGGCAGACAGCCCACGGGCACGCGCACGCGGCCGAGCTCCGC